TATATCTCGCCTTGACTATTGTAACTCCCTCCTCATTGGCCGACCTCATCACAGGCTATCCCCTCTTCAGTCTATCATGAATACTGCTGCCAGACTTATCCACCTTACTAATCGTTCTGTATCTGCCACCCCTCTCTGCCAATCCCTCCACTGTCCCCCACCCCTCTCTGCCAATCCCTCCACTGTCCCCCACCCCTCTCTGCCAATCCCACTGTCCCCCACCCCTCTCTGCCAATCCCTCCACTGTCCCCCACCCCTCTCTGCCAGTCCCTCCACTGTCCCCCACCCCTCTCTGCCAGTCCCTCCACTGTCCCCCACCCCTCTCTGCCAATCCCTCCACTGGCCTCCACTCAGTGTCTCCACCCCTCTCTGCCAATCCCTCCACTGGCTTCCAGTTGCCCAACGGATAAAATTCAAAACACTAACACTGACGTATAAAGCTATCCACAACACTGCCCCAACTTACATCACCAATCTTGTCTCTAAATATCACCAAACTGTACTCTCCGCTCCTCACAAGACCTCCTACTTTCTATCTCCCTTATCCCCTTCTCCCATGCTCGTCTCCAGGACTTCTCCAGGACATCACCCATCCTCTGGAACTCCCTACCCCAATCTATCAGACTATCGCCTACTCTGCTCACTTTTAGGCGATCACTGAAAACCTATCTCTTCAGGGAAGCCTATCCCGCCCTCTTCTAAGAGTGGAATCCTCTACTCTTCAAACCACTCCATCCCCCACAGTTATTACCTATTGTACCATTCACCCCTCCCTGCTAGATTGTAAGCTCCAAGGATCAGGGCCCTCAAATCCCTCTTGTATTGAACTGTATTGTCTCCCACTATAATGTAAAGCGCTGAGCAAACCGCTGGCGCTATATAAATCCTGTATAATAATAACTTTTTTTTTTTCAGGATTTCTGAATCAGGAAAGTAAAAGATGTTACCGGTCACATCCGGCGCATGGCATCGGCAGATACAAACACTTGGTGCCACCTGAAGTTGTAAGGAGCTTTAATGGTTTTCTTACAGGAGAGAACAGCATTATATTTACCAAACATTAAATGCCAAAACAGATTGCGGCTACATTTACATGTCAGTTTAGCAGCGGTTGGGGCAGCTTCCAGCAAGAGTGCTGATTGCAAACTTTACCCACACATGCTATGTGCAAACAACTGTAGCTCTCAGCAGTGGCTGTTAGATTTGTATTCTGTACAAATAAACGGCCAACAACACTCACATATACAGTGAACATGCAAATCAGTACATCATTTGTTAGACCTGCATTTCTTTTGAATGTTTTGTTGCTATTCTGTCTCTCAGTGTTACAATACACCGAACATTTGATTTTTAGACCGATCATTTCTTTGTGAGTGGGCAAACATTCAACATCAGCAGGGGATCAAATACTTATTTCCTTCACTGTAAATACTCTTCTGATTGTGAATAGAGCCTCTGGCCAACCCACCCGGGGTCCACGGTTGGCATTTGTGTTGACTAGTAAAGGCAAATTTGTCTTTATTACGTTTTCAACAGTTTAACAGTACATGGCATGTAGGAAAAATGAAAACAGGTCCAAATGTACATACAGCGCTGAGTGAACTGTTGGCGCTTTATAAATACTGTATTATAATAATACATAAGAAAAGCCATCGCACATATGTAACAATGATGCATATGAAAAGGTGAAAATAGTTCCATAAAAAAAAGAGAAATGTAAGGATCAATAACATAATGGCAGGTATTACGGAGATATGAATAAATATTGTGTCGAGGAGGGCATCCACGACGAGATGTAGGAGACAAAACGAGCTAGTTCCGTATAAACTAGAATATAAATCAAAATCCAAATGAAAAAAAAAAAAACAAAAACAAAAAAAAAAAAGGGGGGGGTGGAAGAAAATAGAAGAGAAAAAAGAAGTCAGTTGGAGAGAGAAAGATAAGAAGAGAGGTGGTTGTGTTGACTTTTAACCAGGGGCGGACTGACAACTCATGAGGCCCCCGGGCAATAGGGGATCATGGGGCCCCTGTGTCCTTGCCCAAACTCAAAAAAGCCTATGAAAAAGGTATCAGGGGCATCTCATCGGGCCCCCTACTGACCCCGGGCCCTCTGGCAGTGCCCGAGTTTCCAAATGGTCAGTCCGCCCCTGCTTTTAACTGTGCACAAACTGGCCGCAGCTGATCGTCCAGCATGTATGGGCCCACAGCACAGAGTGTTGCTGCATCCAAGGACAGCATTTAGCCACCTCTGAAAGCGGCAAACTATCCGCTGCTGCACTGCTGTATGGATGTAGCCTAAAGCAGGTGATATTCCGGTCCATTTCATACACATTTTAAGGGCTAATTCCATCTCTTTGACCATGTTTCATGTTTTACCCATATATAGGGTGTGACATAGAGCATGCTTAGAGTCCAGAGGGCTTTCAGGATCCCCACGTGGTTCTCCACGTCCTTCCATATAGATAAAGTCGGCAACCAGGTGAGGATGAATAAAATTTCTCTTTAATTTTGTCCAAGAAGTACACATGTTCCAAAGAGAGCCAAAACAGAGTGCGTTGCCTCTGTTTGGAACATGTGTACTCCTTGGACGAAATAAAAAGAATTTTTTTCATCCTCACCAGGTTGCCGACTTTACACGGAAATACTCTTTTGGTGAGGGGTTGAGATCACAAGTCAGTCTTGGTGAATAGAAACAGGAAGAAAGGTCAGCCGCACACCGTAGGATAAATGAATATAGTGTGTATTTATTGATCCATAGGACACACAAAACACCAGGACATGAATACAGGACCTGTTAACGCGTTTCACACGACCTCGTGCATAACCCCATGGAACCAGAGCCTCCCGGCCCTTTAAGGGTTTCAGAAGCCGGGGTTTAGGGTCATGTGACCTCCGTGACACGCCGTCACGGCGGTCACATGATCGGGAAAGGTCCTGATTGATTAGAGAAGATCGGGACCTTTTCCGTGAGTACTGGATATGTGTGCTGGGAGTATGCAGGGCGCGCGCTCTCAGCACATATGCTTTTTTTAATAGACCACAAATGTGCGGCTGCTCGGCGGCTAGGCCCAGACGCCGGGAGGCCGCATATTTGCGTTCGGCCAGGGCCAAGAGGTTAATCATAACAAAGAAAACAACGAGTGCTGTCTTATATAGGAGTTAGTTAATCCCTTGACGCCGAGCGCACGCAAATATGCGGCCTCTCAGCGTCTGGGCCTTGACTCCGAGCGGCTGCATGTTTGCGTGCAATTAGAAAATACATATGTGCTGAGAGCGCATGCCCTGCGTGCTCCCAGCACATATGTCCATGACTCACGGAAAGGTCCCGATCTCCCCTTGCGATCGGGACCTTTTCCGATAATGTAACCACCGTGATGGTAAATCACAGCGGTCACATGACCCTAAAACCCCGGCCGCCTCCCGGATTCTGAAACTCTTAAAGGGCCGGTAGACGCCGGCGCTAAGAGGTTAATAAAGAACACCTGTCCTAATCAGCACTCCTGTAGGGATTTTAACTCTCCCCAAACGCCTTATGCGCATTTTTTTGGCGTTTGATAGGCAGAGCGTTAAAATCGCACCACAAACGCCTATAATGAAGTTTAATGATGTTAACACTCCGCAAAATCCTTGCAAACGCCTGCTAGGCGCTTGAGAAGCTTCACCATACCCTTGAATGGGAGGCTTCAACTCCTCCTGACTGGACATGAGGCGTCGGTTTTGGCGCGACGCTAACACTTCAGTGTGAACAGCATTGTGTGCTGCCATGTGCAGAATTTTCATAGGCATTTGAGAAGCGTTAAAAACACTTCCCAAACACCTGTCTGATGCCTGCTGACAAAGGTAGTGTGAACGTAGCCTTGGTCTGATGTGATATGGCTGGAGTGTATTAACCTCCTCGGCGGTATGATTCTTTCCGATTTTTTTTTTTGTGCTGAAAGCGGGGGTACCATTTTTTTGCATGGAAATATGTAGTTTTTTTTATTGTAGGCTGTAATTTTTAGGAATAACTCACTGAAATCTGTCCGAACAAGAGTCTAGTAAACATCCCGGGTAGGATAAAACTTGAAACATGAAATCATAAATTATAATTTAATAAATAATCATAAAAAATAATAATATAATAATAAATTTAATTCAATAATGTAATCAAACCAAAAACACAAATTTGAAACACAAAATCATAAATTATAATTTAATAAATCATAAAAATTAATAATATAATAAATTTAATTCAATAATATAATCAAACCAAAAACACTGAAATTTGAAATACAGAGGCAAATTCGCACATCGCTGAGCAAAGTCGCAGAATCGTTTTCAGTGTCTGATGACGAATTTCCCCCATGAGTCATTATCACTCAATTCTGCAAGTGGTTGTGATTTACTATCGCTGTTCTAAAACCGTTTTTGACCTAAAGGGACGCTTTTTGGATGCCATGGACTTCTAAGTTTCCAGGCAGAAAGAACAGTCAAAATGCAGGCAGGGCGCCGGACAAAGCACTCGGGACAAAATGTATGTGAAATACATTGAAACAGCAATGACAGCAAAAATGACATTTTTAAAAAATTTCAAATTTCCCGCTGGTTCCGGCGCCCGTACGTCCCGACGTCACAGGAACCGGAACACGGAAGCCGGATGCCGGCATCGGCCGGCGGAGAGGGCCGGGGACGCTGCAGGGGACACATCGTGGGAGAGAAAGGACAAGGTAAGTGCTGCAGGGACCCCCTGAGCAACGCCGCATGGTCAAATTTCAGTGTAGCTCGGGGTTACCGCTCTTGGTATTGAAATTTTACCCCGAGCTACACTCGGGAAAACCGCTAAGGAGGTTAATTTAGTCAGGGTGGCCTTTCAGACTACTTAGGAGCTCACAGGGTTTCTGCCACATCACCAGTTATTTTTCTGCACTTGCGGCATTTTTTAAAGTGATAAAATACGGGGAAAGGCGCATGCATTGCAGAGACGTGCTGAATTTTTTTGTTTTGTCCAAACATACATTTTAATGTTAATTAATTCTCAGCAGGTAAAAAAAAAAAGTAAACCGCAGAAGGAGATTAAAGAAGGCACAGACTACGAATACGGCACTCTGAACTTCCAGGTGACCGGCTACAACATGTACTACGTAGAAAAATTTGTCCGGTATATTCATAAATTCTTTAACCAGATGTCCATCGCTGTGGAGGAGAGGTAAGTCCTCCGTTGTCATTCTGTCATGGCTGGCAGCTCGCATAGAGAAAATTTAAATCCATATTCACCATCTCTGTACAGATGTAGGGATCCAAATTGTAGCTATAGATATCCATGATCACCATCTCTGTACAGATGTAGGGATCAAATTGTAGCTATAGATATCCATGATCACCGTCTCTGTACAGATGTAGGGATCAGACTTGTAGCTATAGATATCCATGATCACCATCTCTGTACAGATGTAGGGATCCAAATTGTAGCTATAGATATCCATGATCACCATCTCTGTACAGATGTAGGGATCAGACTTGTAGCTATAGATATCCATGATCACCGTCTCTGTACAGATGTAGGGATCAGACTTGTAGCTATAGATATCCATGATCACCGTCTCTGTACAGATGTAGGGATCAGACTTGTAGCTATAGATATCCATATCACCGTCTCTGTACAGATGTAGGGATCAGACTTGTAGCTCCACCATCTCTGTACAGATGTAGGGATCAGACTTGTAGCTATAGATATCCACGATCACCATCTCTGTACAGATGTAGGGATCAAATTGTAGCTATAGATATCCATGATCACCATCTCTGTACAGATGTAGGGATCAACTTGTAGCTATAGATATCCATGATCACCATCTCTGTACAGATGTAGGGATCCAAACTTGTAGCTATAGATATCCATGATCACCATCTCTGTACAGATGTAGGGATCAGACTTGTAGCTATAGATATCCATGATCACCGTCTCTGTACAGATGTAGGGATCAGACTTGTAGCTATAGATATCCATGATCACCATCTGTACAGATGTAGGGATCAGACTTGTAGCTATAGATATCCATGATCACCGTCTCTGTACAGATGTAGGGATCAGACTTGTAGCTATAGATATCCACGATCACCATCTCTGTACAGATGTAGGGATCCAACTTGTAGCTATAGATATCCATGATCACCATCTCTGTACAGATGTAGGGATCAGACTTGTAGCTATAGATATCCACGATCACCATCTCTGTACAGATGTAGGGATCCAAATTGTAGCTATAGATATCCATGATCACCATCTCTGTACAGATGTAGGGATCAGACTTGTAGCTATAGATATCCATGATCACCATCTCTGTACAGATGTAGGGATCCAAATTGTAGCTATAGATATCCATGATCACCATCTCTGTACAGATGTAGGGATCAGACTTGTAGCTATAGATATCCATGATCACCATCTCTGTACAGATGTAGGGATCCAAATTGTAGCTATAGATATCCATGATCACCATCTCTGTACAGATGTAGGGATCAGACTTGTAGCTATAGATATCCATGATCGCCGTCTCTGTACAGATGTAGGGATCCAAATTGTAGCTATAGATATCCATGATCACCATCTCTGTACAGATGTAGGGATCAGACTTGTAGCTATAGATATCCATGATCGCCGTCTCTGTACAGATGTAGGGATCAGACTTGTAGCTATAGATATCCATGATCACCATCTCTGTACAGATGTAGGGATCAGACTTGTAGCTATAGATATCCATGATCGCCGTCTCTGTACAGATGTAGGGATCAGACTTGTAGCTATAGATATCCATGATCACCGTCTCTGTACAGATGTAGGGATCAGACTTGTAGCTATAGATATCCATGATCGCCGTCTCTGTACAGATGTAGGGATCAGACTTGTAGCTATAGATATCCATGATCGCCGTCTCTGTACAGATGTAGGGATCAGACTTGTTAGGGATCCAAATTGTAGCTAGCTATAGATATCCATGATCGCCGTCTCTGTACAGATGTAGGGATCAGACTTGTAGCTATAGATATCCATGATCGCCGTCTCTGTACAGATGTAGGGATCAGACTTGTAGTTATAGATATCCATGATCACCATCTCTGTACAGATGTAGGGATCAGACTTGTAGCTATAGATATCCATGATCGTCGTCTCTGTACAGATGTAGGGATCAGACTTGTAGCTATAGATATCCATGATCGTCGTCTCTGTACAGATGTAGGGATCAGACTTGTAGCTATAGATATCCATGATCGCCGTCTCTGTACAGATGTAGGGATCAGACTTGTAGCTATAGATATCCATGATCACCTTCTCTGTACAGGTGTGATCCACATTTGTTGCTGTTAGGTGTCAGAGGATTTACCCCCCTTCCTGACCAGGCCATTTTTTGCGTTACGGCGCTGCGTTATTTAACTGACAATTGTGCAGTCATGCAACGCTATAACCAAATTAAATTTACGTCCTTTTTTTCCCACAAATAGCACTTTTTTTTATTTGATCGGCTGTGCATTTTTTTTTCTTTTTTTACGTTCTAAACAAAGAAAAGCGACAATTTTGAGGGAAAAAACAATATTTTTGACTTTTTACTATTACACATGTCCAATAAAAAAAAAATGTAAAAAATCAAATTTTGTCACAATTTTAGGACAAAATGTATTCTGCTCCATATCTTTGCTAAAACAGAATCTCAATACCAGTAAATTAATTGGTTTCCGTGAATGTTAATTTTTATTTTTACTAGTAATAGCGGTGATTGGTGACTTATAGCGGGACTGCGGCGGGCATTCTTACACGGGGGGAACTGAAATCCCCAGTGACACCAATACAGTGATCAGTGCTAATAAAAACCACCGACACTGTATGAATGGCACTGGGCAGGAAGGGGTTAACATCTGGGGCAATCAAAGGGTAACTGTGTGCTGTGTGTGTTTTTTAATATGAGGTTGTGTCTGTGCTTTCCACTGTAAGAATTCGGCTTTGTATGGCCCTGCTATGCAGAGCCATACAAAGCAGTGTGCTGGGGCTGACAGAGGAGAGAACTGTATTGTGAACATGCAGTTCTGTCGCCTGTCAGTAATGCTTGGCGATCACTGGGTGATGGGGAGTAATCACCGGCTGGGACCCGGTGATTGACAGCCGAGGCCACTAATAGCAGCGTGGGTAGGGGGCGCGTTCGCCCCCCTACCCAGAAATGCAAAATCACGTGTATATAGGCCAGCAGGAAAGCGGTTTTTTTTTTTAAGGGGATCCGCAGCTTTTTGTGTTCAAGCTGTGCACGCTCCCTGGGAGCGCGCAGCACCGCGATCCGGTGCCCGCTGTGTCCTCCGGACACAGTGGAACACCGATCGTCAGACGGGTCCCGATCATGTGATCAGTGATTGGCCAATCAGTGATCACATGCGGAGTAGTAAGCAAGATGTCACTTGCTGACATCATTGATTACTACGTGTGAAATTTGTGAATGATCACAGAGGTCACATGGTACAAGGCTATTCACAACATGTGACAAGCTGTGACCAAACACAGCTCACACAGTAGTTCTTAATGGCTGCAAGAATGCAGCCAGAGAGAAGGAGAAATGATTGCTTTTACAGCCTTTATGGGTGTAAAAGCAATCAGTGTAAAAAAAAAAAAAAAAAAAAAATCTTCATCACCCCCCACAAGTAGTACAGTGTCACCATGGTGACACTGTACTGCTAAGGTGACAAGTACCGTATTTTTCGCCGTATAAGACGCACCTGACCATAAGACGCACCTAGGTTTTAGAACTAGAATTCTGAACTAATGGACTGCAGACACAGTACAGGAGATGACCAGAGACTGCGGACAGCACAGGGATGACCAGAGACTGCGGACAGCACAGGGATGACCAGAGACTGCGGACAGCACAGGGATGACCAGAGACTGCGGACAGCACAGGGATGACCAGAGACTGCGGACAGCACAGGGATGACCAGAGACTGCGGACAGTACAGATGACTGCTGACCTTTGGGGAGGTGGGGAGCGGGTACCTGAATTTGACAGGTACCCGCTCTTACTTCCGCAGAGTTTTTGTTTGATCTTACCTGTTCCTCGATCCAGCCGCGCGCTGTCTTCCCGGCTTCTGTAATGGCGCTCGGCATGACAGCTGGGTGCCCAGTGCGCATGAGCGAGAAGCACTTGCGCTTTGTGATTGGTCCGGCGGCTTCTGGGATCTGTCATGTGTCCCAGGTACCGCCTTACCATTCACAAAAAGCACCGCTTCTTGCGCATGCGCACTTGGCACCCGGCTGTCATGCCCAGTGCCCACGCTACAGAAGCCAGGAAGACAGCACGCCACTGGATAGAGGAACAGGTAAGGTCCCGCTGCAGAGCTGAGCGGCCGGCCTGGTATTCTGACACGGCCGCGGTGGAAATACCGGACCGGCCGCTCCATATTCGCTCCATAAGATGCACTGACATTTCCCCCCCAGTTTTGGGGAAGAAAAAGTGCGTCTTATACGGCGAAAAATACGGTATGTAAAAAAACCCCCCAAAAAAAAACATAAATAATATAAAAAAATGTTTAAAAATTATAATTTTTGGTTATAAACTAATTTGGATTATTTTTTTTTTATTTACTAAAAAGATAACGGAATAAATTTTGGCCAAGATTTATGATGACATACTATTTATTTGCAAAATTTTATAAGAAAAACACTTTTTTTCAAAATGTTTGGACTTTTTCATTTACATAGCAAAAAAAATAAAAATCCCAGCGGTGAATAAATACCACCAAAATAAAGTTTTATCTGTCTCAAAAAAAAATGCTAAAAATCTCATATGAGTGCAGTGTTGCATGACTGCGCAATTGTCATTCACAGTGTGATAGCACTGAAAGCTGAAAATTGGCCTGGACAGGAAGGGGGTAAAAGTGTCCGGACTGGAAGTGGTTAAACTCTGGAGATTGGCTTTAAGACCAACTCATGCTTAGAGAGAAAAAAAAAAATTCAGCCAACAACAGCTTTTAAAGTAGAATTAAAATGGCTTTTATTTGTAAATTGCTGGCAGGTAGGCTTTGTGTGTTTATTCTGCAACAAAACCTCCTATATTGATGTGTTTCCCCAGCTATGCCCTGCAGACCAGGAGCAAGGAGATTCTGGTGCAGCAGGATGCGAAGAGCAAGATGACCGTGGATTACATACTCACCACCCACGAGCGAGTCATCCAGGTGAGCGGAGACCTTTCTCTACATTCATTGCGCATTACTTGACTTCAAAGCCTCAGGCCAGCTGGAAATCTTGTGTAGCGCCTCCATCTCTGACATTTCCCTGACAGAATAGCTGCCCTCCTGGGGGTATACCTGCACCTCCAGTTCAATTATCAGTGATATGTTTTAATTATACTGCAGGGAGAGTGGGACTGCTTCATGATATCTGCATCAGGTGTTTAGAGCTGAGAACTGAAAATGGTTTTAAAGCCTAAACATTTTTTACCTAAACCCCTTCACGCCTAAGGGTTAAACAAATGTTAATGCCTAAGCACAATTTTGCAACTTTGACGTGTTCCTGTACATATCACAACTACTTTGTGCATCCAGGTAGATTATACCGCGTTGTTTTTTGGTTTTATATTCAGGACAAATTGGGTTGTCATTTGGTGGTAAATGGTGATGGATATCTCCTGATCCTTCTCCTTTTTTTTTTTTTTTTTATTCACTTGCAATGTGCCCCTGAACGTGCAAGAAAAATTGACTACTGCAGCAAGAGTCAATTCTCTAACACCGCTCCTTCCTAGCATGTTGTAGCCCTGTTCTCTTCTGTGCTGGCCCAGCTCCACCACCCTCCCTAACCTTTTTATGTAGCTGCCAGGGAAGGCTTGAAGGGCAAAACCATACTGCATGTCATAGTGTCAGCTCTGAGTCTGCTGGGGCTGCTGACATCACATCCAAGATTTTGGCACCCAGCAGCAGTCTCAGGGCTTTTGGATGTCTACACAAGGGAGGCTTTTACAGGTAAATATCTTTGATGTTGAGAGTGTTGATGGTACCGGCTATTCATGGTGGTCTTTTCTTAGGTAAGTGGCCTCAAAGCTACCCTGGCCCCTATTATCCTGGAGGTCATGATGATGAATCAGCCAGAAGGGGTCCAACTTCAAGTCATTAAAGTAAGAGAACTGTTCTCAGATATTAACCCCTTCAAGCCTAAGGGTAAAACAAATCTTCATGCCTAAGCACAATTTTGCAACGTTGACATGTGTTAGTAAAACCATCCATATCATCACAACTACTCTGTACATCCAGGTGGATTATACCGCATTGTTTTTTGGTTTTATATTCAGGACAAATTGGGTTGTCATTTGGTGGTAAATGGTGATGGATATCTCCTGATACTTCTCTTTTTTTTTTTTTAATTTAGCTGTATATTTCTTGTTACTACCATTAATCTACCACCAAAGAACAACCCAAAATAAATTCTCCTGCTCCTGGCGATCGCAGCAATACCACATATGTGCATGTTAGTTGTTGTTTGTACCCGTAGCACGGCCCAGACACAATGGTGCGCATTTTGCTTTTTTTTTTTTTTTTTTTCCTACCTAAAACATACTGACACCGATAATATTTTTTATTTTTGTTTACAAATGCTTTATTGAAGGTAATATTAGAAAAGAATGTACAGAGTGTAGGCAAAAAGTCTATCTATCCATTCAGTTATATCCGACCCTTGGCAATTGCATGGACCGTCTTTTGCAGGACAAATTGGGCTTTCAGTTGGTGGTAAATGGTAATGGATATCTCCTGATTTTTTTTTTTTTTATTATCAAAGGAAAACTGGCCCAGGATAGTAAAAAAAAAAAATAATTTTTGTAAATTTTTAGCTGTGTTTTTCTTGTTACTACCATAACCTGATGGATGAAACCTTCTGCGCTTAAATGGACACCTACAAAGAAGCTGCTATCACCTGACCTGACTTCACTAGGTAAATGGCAATATTAAAATGAATGGTGAAGGGCTACCAATATCATGCAATCAAACAGGAAACGGCAACATATATAAAAACATATATAAAAAACAAATGAAGTTGACACATCATGTGAGCAGTACAATATAACACTCAGTGTATTGATCCAATTGGATCTAATGAAGTGCTGCTAAAGTGAAACAGGTAAGACCTGTAGCAAAAAAAGTGGACCCTTTTTCCTAATGGAAAAAATCAAAACAACCTCCCCCTGTCCACATAGGGGACTTATGGTGAATATTAAGTGACCCCCTCAGGGGGTAAAGGGCGCAGATCAATGTGACCAGTGCCAGTTGTGAATGAATCAAAGTCCAACACTCATAAATACATAAACATGCATTAGTCAGTATAAATGTCCAAAATCACTATAAGCCGACACACTAGTGCATGTGATCAGTATAAATGTCCAAAAACACACAGGGCTAATAACTGCAAGCCAACACACTAATGCTCGTGATAAAGTGGTCTTCAAAGTAGGTGATAGGAATCCTAAATGGCAGAAATGCCCCCTCACCTCCAAGCACCGACCACAAGGGCCAGCTCGCCTTATAAATCTCACCACGATCCCTGTCAGGGCTCCGGGTATGACCAGAGGTGTGTGGACTGACACAGGGAAACGCAGGCTTCAGATATAGTATAAACAATATAATTTATTTAAGACTAAACGATACATAAACGCAGTGCAAGACTAAACATAAACACAGTGCAAACAAACCAAACCAACACCCCCAACAGATAACAAAAGAACAATACTAAGCGTAGTCGGGCAGGCCGGGTCGGTAGCAAACGGGCAGGCAAGGTACAAAGAAGCAGACAGAGCGTAGTCAGACGGGCCGGGTCAGGAACAATCAGGCAGACAAGGTACCAAAGGAGCAGACTGAAGAGTGGTCAGGAATAGCAGAGGTCAGGACAGGCGGAGTTCAATCAGAGTCAGGGATCAAGCAGGATCAGACAGGAAGCAGACAGGATGCAGGTACAGGGGCTCTTGGGAAACATACACCAAGGCCCTGAATGCAAGTCTGGCCATTCTTTATATGCACCTTCTGCAATCAGCCTCAGGTGTTTTGGCTGACTGCAGGAGTGAGCCTCTGGTTGCTGAGAGCACCGCTGGCCAGTCCTGGTACTGCAACCCACAAGGCAGGTGAGTCCCACCACTATTGGCGAGTCCATTCCTGACAATCCCAGAGAACAGACCTCGTCCTGGCAAAGATGTTGCATAAGATCCTGAGGAAGTCACGTGATATTGTGACGCAACGCGTTGGTACACCAGTTCCGGTGACGCACGTCCGGTTGGATGCCATTTTGGACATGCTCACAGGCCCATGCAGTACACCCATATTAAGTGGTGGAAATGCGATTTTAACAAGCATGTAATGTGAGTGGGCAATTTTTACTTCTATTACTTGTTGTTTAATAAACATATTGCACTATGGAGGATGTTTTTGTTTATTAAACAACAAGTAATAGAAGTAAAAATTGCCCACTTACATTACATGCTTGTTAAAATCGCATTTCCACCACTTAATATGGGTGTACTGCATGGGCCTGTGAGCATGTCCAAAATGGCATCCAACCGGAAGTGCGTCACCGGAACTGGCGTACCGACGTGTTGCGTCGCGATATCGCGTGACTTCCTCAGGATCTTATGCAACATCCTTTGCCAGGACGAGGTCTGTTCTCTGGGATCGTGGTGAGATTTATAAGGCGAGCTGGCCCTTGTGGTCGGTGCTTGGAGGTGAGGGGGCATTTCTGCCATTTAGGATTCCTATCACCTACTTTGAAGACCACCTTATCACGAGCACCAGTGTGTTGGCTTGCAGTTATTAGCCTGTGTGTTTTTGGACATTTATACTGATCACATGCACTAGTGTGTCGGCTTATAGTGTTTTTGGACATTTATACTGACTAATGCATGTTTATGTATTTGAGTGTTGGACTTTGATTCATTCACAACTGGCACTGGCCACATTGATCTGTGCCCTTTACCCCCTGAGGGGGTCACGTAATATTCACCATAAGTCCCCTATGTGGACAGGGGGAGGTTGTTTTGATTTTTTCCATTAGGAAAAAGGGTCCACTTTTTTTGCTACAGGTCTTACCTGTTTCACTTTAGCAGCACTTCATTAGATCCAATTGGATCAATACACTGAGTGTTATATTGTACTGCTCACATGTGATGTGTCAACTTCATTTGTTTTCATATATGTTAGGCACAGAAGTTGTTACGATATGAAGCAACAGTGCAGCAGTTCTTATAATAGTTCATATAATCCGGCCAGAAAAAGCATGGAAAAGGTCCAATGATGTTCCAAATCGCATTCAGTAGAATAGGCAAAAATAATGAGGTTGTGCGCTTACCACAAGTACACACAATATGAGCATTGTATGCAATTTCAACAGCAACCGGGCATCATGGTCTGGTCAGCAGCCTGGGCGACATCTGGTCATATCCGGACATAAGGATAACAGGTACACCGCTGTCCAGGTCCCCTCTGGCTTCCAAATCCCAAACGCCACCTTGCATAAGCTCATTAAAAAACGAGCCGGGAGGCAAGAAAGCGCTAATAGTGAAGTACGTTTATTAAAAACATAAAACGTGAGCAAAGCAACCAGAACTCACATCAACAAAATATACATCCAGGCCCAAATTGATGGGCTCCCTGGTGGTTAGTGGATCACTCAGCATGCACTGCATACAAATAAAAGTCCAATAGATAACCCTGGTGGCTAGTGGTATCATTGGTATATAGCCATAGAGTAAGGTAAGTAATATGCAGATATACTCATCCAGGTCTGGTGGGTTTGTTCCCTGGTGGCTAGTGGTTCATTAATAGTAGAGGCGTCAATAGGGTGGATCCCCTAACATGTTTCGAGCGAAAGCTCGTTCTCAAAGGGGTGAATCCTACCCTTAGACGCCTGTTTAAAAACCCCCGCGGTCGCGCATGCGCATTACGCACCACGCGCCGCTCCGAGAAACTGCGCATGCGCGAGTGACGTCACACGCCACCATGTAACTACCGCGCATGCGCGAGCGCATCATCAATATGGACACTGAAGCCGAATCACAAAGTCTGCCCACACATAGGCAGGCTCAGGGCGGGTCTGGACGGCTGCCCTTCTCCCCCATTGAAACGGAGACCAGAGCAGCATCCCCAGACAGTAGATACATAATGTAGATGCCCTAGATCCCCAGGGAAAAAATATCAGAACCCCAGAGACTGCATAAATCAATAAATATGACATGACTTGTAAAAACAACAGCATAAAAGAACAGCATATGTTCAATGTAATCTATATAGAGACTGCAGGATCCCATACAATTAAAGTCCTTAGAATGATCCATCAATTATGTGAAGTGCTAAACTCATAAAAACAACAGGATAATAACACATTACAGTGACTAATCAATAATATTCTCAAAAACCAAAATATCTATGACATTCTCAAAACCAAATATCATATATTTAAAACAATGGTACTAATGTACATATACTGACATGTAAAAAAGTTTCTATATTTAAAAAAAATAATAATAGTACTAACACAAATACACAATAAAAATAGTAGAAAATAAAAGCAAGCCCTCTGAAGTGCAGAATGGAGCATCCTACACAATCGTCCCAAAATCCCTATTTAGCATGACCCTATTACTATCAAAGGGGGTATAAACCATTAATAGGTCATAAATCAAATATTATATCAATGACCGGAACAATAGTCATTATCAAGCCTGAAAATAAGTATAAATAGAAAAACACAATCCAACCCTCAATGGTGAGACTGTATAATGAATGCACCCCAGATTACGGTATAATAAACCGAACCTAGCAAATCCTTATGGAGAATAGCATCATAATAAAGATAGCACCGTGGACAAATGAAAGCCTAAAATCATAAAACCTATACATACTAAAATAACACCTACTAGAGCGGAAATCAGCTGTTATCAATAAAGCAGTTGATGTCCAGGTCAACATTCAAGCCCCTGGGTTGCAGAGACTTGAGCTCCACAATCCACAATCTTTGAGACGAAGTGGATTGTGGAGCTCAAGTCTCTGCAACCCAGGGGCTTGAATGTTGACCTGGACATCAACTGCTTTATTGATAACAGCTGATTTCCGCTCTAGTAGGTGTTATTTTAGTATGTATAGGTTTTATGATTTTAGGCTTTCATTTGTCCACGGTGCTATCTTTATTATGATGCTATTCTCCATA